TGATTGACAGAACCAAGCAAATCTCAGAAATGGGTAAAATCCGCTTATCCCAAATAATAAAATAAAAATACTAACCCCATCGTCCTTATATTCTCTGTAGCCGATAACATAGAGACCAAGCTGAACACTATACATCTGGTCGTCACTGATCCTTACAGATTCCATATGTGTGGCGAGTTCGGGATTCGTGAAATTCCTTGGATACCAAATCAATGGCATGACCTAAAACTGGAATTTACTACCCGAAACCTTTCAATTACACTCATGACCCGACGGTCACTAACCGGATAAGGTACAGGGTTTTTGAACCAATCGTAGATGTTACCAATGTCTAACCGCATCGGATCCAGTGTGGGTGGCACTGTAAAAAAAAGACTTTGAGATAAAATTCATAATAGAATACCAGTGTAGGCGTACCAAAGTAGATGTAGCCAACAAAGGCTTTTTCGTCGTTGCGCCTCCACTCTGCGGTTGGAAATAAACGGTTTTCGTGCCCCAGTCGTAGATTTTTGGTAAGTGACATCGTGCTATCGATGGATTCAGCACTGTGCAGGTAGCCGTCTGAAATCAGTAAATAGCATTTGGAACTCTATTTGAGATTGCACAGTGACAAGGGACCATCTTCCCCATTATACATGATTCCGACTGAGCCAGACCTCTACACCATCACGCAGTTCATATTATCAAGCTTATGAAAAATAGTACTAATTCAGTTTTAATGGACGCTTTTGCCTTTATCACCTCATATAGAAGGTGGATGCTAGCCTCACTTCACAATCGAGATTATTAATTGATGGAGACCAGCGCCTTTTTCCGCAGATCTGTCAGTCTGTTCAGAATACTCCATCGTTTCATCATTTACTCCGTATCGTAGAAACGCATGAATGCAGCATACAAGTATCTTTGTTTTTTTTTGAGGGAAAAAGAAGTCGAGGAGAAGGGGTCGTATGAAATCTCTCATGAAGGAGGGGGTCGTAAAAAATTTTGCAAAAAGTCCCAACGATAGGACCGACCCTGCTCTCAGCTCAACTACAGTAGCAATATCACTACTGAATGTAGCGTTTCATGAGAATGCTCCAAAAATTTCTAAAATTCTAAGTGGGGACAGAAGAGCACTAGTATTCTTAGGGTGCTTTATGCGAGCTTTACCAAAGAGCGATAAGAAACACTAGAGGAAATTCCCCTTCATAGCTGATAAATAGTAACGTTCACTAAAACAACAACTGGTAAGACAACAGGATTATCCCTAGGCAGGATGCGCCGCGCATTTCAGTTTCATTCGAATCGTGACAGCATTTGAGATGCTTTTTGCCCATGCAATGAAGCAGCGTAAGCAGAGACCTGCCAACACCCTCCCTCCCCAATCCTTACTTACACCCAATATGACATGATTAATGATAGGTCAGACTATAATCACTGAACATCCTATCAAAACCAGCATCACTGTTACTGCACTGACAAAGTCCGAAGTTCAAAAACAGCTTACCTGACGTTGCTCGATCATAAGAATGTAGGTTTGCGCTCGATCAAGGCATATAGCGTTCACATCGACTGTCATCTCGCCCATCATGTTTACGATATTTGGGTAAATCAGCATGGGGTCTTAAAAACAACTAAGTACGTCATGCCATTCTACAAGCACCAGAAGAACCAGTCATGATTTCATTTGCATATCCAATGCCTTTTTGAATTTCTTCAGAAAGAAATAATTTGAAAGAGCACCAAAGCGGCTGAAAGATGGAATAAAAAACATTCGGGATTATTTTAATCTTTTGGCAGTTTTCATAACTGTATCAAGCTCGTAAAATAAAATAAAGTATTTCAATAAGAACAAGCACCCACATGTTCCTCCGGTCTTATTACTGCAACCAGCTGGTCGAACCACATCGTCAACTCGGAACATATAGCGGCCACGTACCATGTGTGGAACTCCAGAACGTTGTGAAAGCACCTAGAGAGGATGTGATTTCTTCATATTGCACCGTACGTTTTCTCAAACTGTCCATCAATTCGGGATGGGCTTTTATATTTCTCTAAAAAAGAGAAGAGATAAAAAAAAGATTGCATAGGTACTAACATGTTTATTTTGCTCTCAGTTTTGCATTTTAGTTGCCCAATAAATATATGGCCGCACAACGACTGCTATTTACCCTTCTCTGCACCTAAGCAAGTTCTGGTAAATACTTGACCCGTTAAGCTTTACCGACAAAAGCTGAAAGCTGGGCGGCGAACGATAAGACACCAGTTTTGGTTCTGGTGAAAGGCTGACTTGTTCTATTAAATTAATTTGGTACAACTTAGAGCTTTCGTCGTTTTTATGATCCTGCTCGGCTGTCTGGACAAGAGTCCGACGCCAACAATTCAGAGCCTAAGAAGCCGTCGTGGTTTTTGTATAATAACTAGTGACCCCGTCACCCATGGAGAGCACTGCCCACTTGATATAATAGAATTTAAACAATTTACCTATTTCAATTGTGGGAACAGTATGAAGTACGGGTATGACCCTTCCCTGGCGATTACTCTCATCCAGAATCATGATCATACAAATTATAATACATAGGACCCTCATGCCTACCATCACACTCAGAAAATAGAATAATAAAAAGAACAAAAAGAACAAAAACAGAATAATAGAAAGATTGAAGTAAATGGGTGATGATAGAATGAACCAACCTTTGGTGTATTCTTGAACGCTTGCGTTGGGTCAACGGGAACCATTCCGGTGTGGTTTCCGCCATTGAAGACAGCCTGAAACGACCATTTCTAGTGGGGTGCGGCGAAACAAATTTAATATCAAATACGGTGAACTGATAACAAATGAATTATAAAGGTGTAGACAAAGGTAATCATGCAAACAAATATTTAGGTAATCATAAATTATCACTTGTCCAAAAAATTATGCTACCGAAGTCAAGAAAAGAAGTTCTGGGTATTAGCTGATGAGTGGTGGAGAGGTACATGCCTCATAATGTCGACTATATATAACTAATAAGCTGCAAGATCGGAGACGACATATGGATTGCTCGCTGAAGTCATGTAGCGTCGCATGCAAACAAAGATGAGATGATCGATGGGACCACGTCTCGACTACCAAATCTTCTGTCTCTTGAGGGAGCCAGCCAAGAGCCATCAGCTGAAAATCATCTATGTGGGTCTGCTGATCGCCGTATATACCAAGCACCCACTCAAAACTCACCTAAACTTCAAGCGAGAGCCGAATGCCTGGCGCATCCCAAAAGAAGGGATTGATAGATGCGAGATGCCTCGTCTCTAATTTTACTACAGGGTCGAGCCCTCCTTGTCTCTTCGGAAGTGGTAGTAGCAAAACCAGGAAAGGTCTCGACAGAGCATACTGTTCTGATTCTGCTACGACCAATTTGGTTGCTATGTAGCCTTAGCGAATCTTAACGGTGCCCTAGGGCCCTTTCCATTCAGAAATCCAGTAGCTGTAAAAAATGGCGATGAAGTTGAAGAGTTGAAGGCGATGCTAAGGCTGCGATAGTTTTACATCCATCGAGTTCCTCTGAAGAATGAGCCTAGCGATTAAGGCAACTTAGAAATTCAATCTTTCCGCTATAAGTCCTCATTCAACCCTACCATGAGCTCTCACTTTCCCATGATCTCCATACACTCACTATTGAGTCACTGAATAGAATTCACCGTGTCACCTCTGAGCATTACCCGTAGCCACAAACAAGTTTACCAGTGCCCTCCAACGTGACTAACACCTTCCTGGCTTAGGCTCAAAATAACTTTTCCGGATGCACCTTTCGTACCATTCACCAAAAGGTATTCTCAACGTGACTCATTGAAAGTATCTGATGGTCTTCAGCATTTCTTCGCGACTACTCATACGTGGTGGTGATTGTTTTCTATTGACACAGTGTCCGATCATGCGGTCCGCGGCAGTGGTGTGTAAATACGTGAGGAGTCAAATTCCCGCACTCACTCAATGTACTTCAGCTTTAGCTGGTTTCAGCGTGAGTCACACGTTGAATGTAGGTAAAAAGATAGCCCTTGTCCAAATAAAATGTCAAGGACAGCACCGATCAGTTACCCTAGTTTGTGCCACGTCGAGGAATTTGGGTGAGGATCGCAGAGACATTTGTAACCGTTTCCACCACCCCACCCAGTGGATTGCAACAGAAAGGAGCCGAAAGCAGTATACGAACATCAAAGGACGAAATCCTTGAGATGTTGCCACGACAAGAGAGGATTTGGGTTCTCAACGGCGCCGTCTTGCTCCGCCTTTCTTTGAAAAACTCCAGACCGGACGATATTCTTATTGGACAGGATTACGGGCGACCGTGTGATACAATGAAGAGCATGCACCTTAGAAAACGTAAAAGGTTTCAAGACTGCTGATGAGATTCAAATTCAGAATTTGCTGAAGATGGAGCCAAACAGCTCAGAAGCAAGTGTAATTGAACGTTAAGGAACTATGAATGAAATACTGTATGCCGGAAACAGAACGAGTAGACGATGATGCCTGAAAACCGGAATCCGGGTAGAACTATCAAAGTGTGAAAGCTTTCTAGCTTTTCCATGATATCGAGATGGCCCTTGAAGCTATGTAGATGTGGTGGTAATGGGAAAATTTAAGAAAGGTTATGAAGAACATTTTCGATGATCGCGTAATATTAAAGAAAAACTTGGCATTCCGAAATTTAATCAATCAGATTTTTGCCGCTGCAAATGGAGTAGTAGGCTAACCTGACACCTTCCACTTCTTGAGTTCGCTCGGAAATCGGCGGCATCGAAACCGAGTTTGTCGTAGTTAAGGATTCACATAACTCAGACGGCGTTGTGCGGCCTGAAAGAAATCTCCGATACGAGTTATAAAAGAGGATACTAAAGTCACAAATGCACCTGAATAATTCTAAGGCACTAAAGGCAATTTAAGACGTAGGGAGCTGCTTTATCCACTAGACGGTGACTCTCGTGACAGTAAGAGGGGACTGCTTACCTGATCAGTAAGCCAAACGAGTTGGTAGGTGGCAAGTTGGCCGGCATCCATGTCACTTCTGCCGGATATCGCTGAGGCTGTATTATACCAGGTGACGACCAGAGCCGCATCAGCTCGGAAAGCTGCAGCTCCAGCGACTCCCTCTAAAAAGATAAGACTTCTAGAATCGACGCTTTAATTGCACAATAAAAATAACAAAAACTGAAAACGGATAAAGGAAAAGTTACCGTAGTTGGAGAGCAGTAAGTTAATATCTCATTGAGCTGTCGCTACTGCCCACAAATTACGGGACAGTAATACAAAATTGGGGCAAAATTAAGCTGAGCATTCCAACTTGATGCGCGAAATGAATACTTCAGGATAGTATGAAATGGCTGAGGAATTGTGTGTATGGGTGAGCCTGTTTGATTTTTAGGCAATACTACACCCGAAATGTAACGTATAACCCAAACCAATCGCCGAGGAGGACGAAACCTTTCCAGTTCATGCCCATTCGCTTAACTACGG